AGCTGAGGGATTAGTAGAAATGTTTGTGTAATGAATGCAGCTACTATATTTGAGCACATGCCTGAATAAGCTACTTGTCGATTGAAACCTATCTATTTATAAGTACTTCTAAGTACTCCTGAATGGTGCAAAAACTATCTGTATTGCAGTATTGCAATGGCTTTTGCATAATGGTAAATATTTTATTGTCATTTACATTGTGAAATTCACTTCACAAATTTGCCAGTTTTATTTCTGAAACCTATCATGTAAAATGTACAGGATGGAATTCCTTACATCTGGCCTGATTTGTTTCTAACTTTTGAGCTAATAAAAAAAAGTGTAACTGATTTGGCAGTTCTCAACAAGGGATCTTTTATATGCTCTTGTGTACACACAACATCTTCAGAAATGCAAATTAAAGCAGTTCTTAAAGTAAGTGCTATCCATGTCTGTCTTCATTCAAGGTAACCATCAAAATTTTGTGATGAAATAATTTCTAAAATTTCACTCTGTTCATTCTTCAGCCCTAATATAAAGCCAATTCTATTACTATTTGAACTGAAAATGCTTCATGAAAGGATGAAGCCACAGTTCAATAATGGCAGACATCAATAGGAATCTCTTATGTCAATAAAAAATGCAAACAACATGTTAAAATATGATATATTTTAACATATCTGTTTACATATTTTAAACCTAACCAATAGACCAGCAATAAACTGGAAAACAGAGTTAAAACAAAGAGAGCAGGAAGTTCAGAGTTAAGGCAGACAGTATATACAGATATTTAATTATGAAAGCAAAGATTTTCTTCTCTGAACTACAGTGAACATTCACAAAATCTCTAGTTATTGCCTCTTAATAACAAATTTAGATGATCCATGTTCAGGCTGATATTTAGGCCTAGCTCTGTCAAATCTCAATAGGACTTTGAAAATAGAAACTTTGAATGAGTAATGTTACCATTTCCCTATTTTGTATGTGCTTCTGGTTCAGAGCTCTGCATGAATGGAGATGAAGAAAAGTTAAATACTTGTATATTATTTTAATTTGTATTATTCTGCAAATAGCATGAGTTTTTTTAGCTTCGTTTTATCCCCTGAAATACATCAAGTACTGTCTTTCATACAGTCACTGATATTGAGACAGAAATACTGAACAGAAGAGCTAAGTCAAAACAATTTCAAAGTGACTTTATACCTTCTTGGGCAGTACTGCTCCAAAGCAGGGTAAAATTAATACCTGCTTTTTTCTGCCTTATTTAATTTGAAAATAATTACAGGTATAGTTTTAACCGATGTATGTACATCTCTGAAAGCTAAACTTGTAAATGTATTCTCTGTATTTGCATATAAGCCACAGACCATTTTTAGATCTGAAAAATTATTCCAAGCTTTATTTCTTTCCAAGGCATTTTTAGTACAGAGCTCTGCATGAATGATGGGATGAGAGCTGCCTGCCTTTCTGAATGTACCAGTCAGTGTGGTGGAAGGAACATCGAGGATGATGCGATGTGAAACACAACATTTACTGGCATTTATTCGGGATGTCCTGCCTGAGTCAGCATGGCCTTACCGGCCCTAAGAACGTTCACTTCTGCTCATGAGTAATGTTCCAACCCAAGAAAACCTTTTATCACCACACCCTGCTGTGTACACTTCCTCTGTGTAGACATAGCCCCCCAGGTGAATCAGGAGATCTTCCCTAGGTTCTAACCACCAGTGCTTGAAAATACATCATAGGTGGAACAATATTAGGTCAAAGACATATAAACAAACCCTCTTAGGCCATGGAATTAAATTCTTTTTCATACATCATACTTCCTTCAAGCTTTACTGGCTTTATACTCATCTTCAAAACCCTGAGAATTTTGCTTTCTCTGTCTGGGTAGATAGAAGTTGAAAAATTCTAGACTCATCTGTTTCACCTCTACTTCACACCAAATTAGCGCTAGATGGTAGATAGATGGCAAAATGGGGAATTCCTAATACTTCTAAAGTCAAAAAGAAAAAAAAAGATTGGAAGTACCTGAAGTTCCACTGTGAACTGTAAGCCATTCCTGCAAAATACTGCTTAATCAGGTCCATGCTACACTAAGTAACCGTTACCATATAGCTGTATGTAGAACAGTTGAAAATAACATAGATGTTATAAAGGTATTTGTAGGTGTGACAACTGTGTCGGGAAAGGACTGTCCTGTTTTGCTAAACCCTCAAGGATTCTGCAGTTCTCATAGGAATGATCTGAGTGAAAAACATTCCCATGTTAGAAGACAAGATGCTCCCCATAAGATGGAGATGTGGAAAGTCTGCAGTCTGTTTAGGAAACGTTCCTTCCTCTTTCTATGCTATCAAGTTTTTTTGACAGCCAGAGCTTTTATAGTAACATTGTCTTCATGACAATGGGCTCCTAGAGCTATTCTGAACCAAATGCTTCTGGCATGAGTACAGAAAATGAGTACCATACAAAACTGAAGTAGCTTTTGTGTCTGAAAAGTTTTAAAAGGCCCCTGTGATGAAATCCCAAGCAGCAGTACAGGCTCACTTTATATCTGAAGAAGATGAAAATGACATTAATACAAAGAAAGAGGAAGCAAGAACATACCTGGTAAGAGGTTTACCTCAGGTGTTGTCTGATGCATGAAGTAGCTGAGATCTTCTGGGATGGTAATCTGTTCTGAAAAGCCAGAGTCTCCTGAACGGTGAGCCAGCTCCTGCCTCTCCATCCTCCACACCATATACATTGTCTGTACATATTTAAAGTGTGTATTTTTAAGTCTCTGCAGACATCTCCACTCTATTACATTAATTATGACAGCAAAATTGGTATGCTGTCATAACACTAGTCATACCACTCTTCAGGAACACACTGCCTGTGGATAGTGGGCTCTCCCTCTATTAGGTGAAAGACAAAGTTGTTTATATTCCACACATATGCTAAGAGAGGGAGGCTCAAATGGGGAAAAGTATCTGTGCTGAGAAAACATGTAAAATAGTGCAGGGGAGAGACATTGGAAGAGCAGAAAGACTTTTTCATGTGAAAACTTTGAACAGTTTTGTTTCACTTTGAACAGTGAAAACATGAAACTTTTCACCTTAAGCGAAGAAAATAAAATTATTTTCAAAAGAAAAAAAAATCAAAAGGAAAAGGAAATAAAGGTCTTCTCACAGACTTCTCTAATATTCTATGTGAAATGTTAACTTCCCATCTAGCATTATTAAATGCTATGCAGAAGCCATTACACAAAAATGTATGTGGCTTCATGTTCTGCACCTCCAAACTTCAGTTATAAAAGTGTCTCAGGTAGACTCAATGGCAATTATTTTCTTTTAAATCAAGACAATTGAATTCAAGTCTCATGTTTTCAAGTTGATAGTGGGATATAATTCTGGTTTAAAATTTGCCGTAAGAGCACAAGAAAAACAGGAGATTTTTTTTGCCACTGAACGATCCCACACCTAAATCCTTACTTCCCAAGAAAATTTATTGCTGGGAACAAAATAATAGTTTTAAGGATTTTTTCTTTTCCTTTGTGAATAAGATAAATCATATCAAAATATAATTATAAAAAGATAGTAGCGGCGTGAGTCTGTCACAAAACTCACAGCCTGTTTTTTCCAGTCGGGTGGGCCCCTCACATACGAGCAAAATGGAAGTATCTCTGGCAAATTCACTCTACACAAACTTTAAACCACCCTCCTTCTCTGGGCCATTTCAATGAAGAAGTGTTTTGGAGCCAGCTCTCCTTCACTAGCAGGTAAACCTTTTGTTAAGATAATGATTTTTGTGGGAACTTTGTGTTAAATACTGGCAGCAAATAATTTATTCTCAATTCTAAGAAGCTTTACAAGGATACAAAGCTTTACAAAGACGTCAAGATGGATTCCCCCTTCACACAACAAACTAACATGCTTTTACGGCTGCTTCAAATCCATTGTTTGGTTTCCTTTTACCGTCCAAATTTCTCTTCAGGGACAGTATTCTCACCATTTAGTAACAGTAGAGTTTTAATGACCACACAGATGGTGCGTACCCAGACTACAGATAATTGTATTTTTGGAGACTTCACCAGCCAAAATCATGGTAAGTGAGGAAATTACTTTTGCATAGGTTTCTGGAAAACCTGGGGGGAAAAAAAACCTGTTTTAAGATAAGCTGTAGCAAAGATGCTTAAAAATGAAACAATGCAAGATAGTCTAGATGAAAATAACTTATTCAGGTCTAGTCAGACATAAGTATTTTAGATTAGATTGCAGTTTTATTGCTGCCTCACTGGGGGGAGATCCCCATGGCTCTAATAACCACAGAAGTGCTAGTCTGCCGCCCATGGGACAGAGGTTATGTATTTTTGAATAAAATAATCCTGATTTAAGTAATAACTGCTTGTACAACCTAACGCAGCAAACATCCTGCTACTGTGATTGTATTACAAGAATAACAAAAAAGACTAAATTCTTACCCTTGGGACCCCACTTCTACTCCCCTCTAAGCAATTAACACCGAGGTAAAATTGGAAAGTGCCTGACACCCTAAGGAGCCCCCTCAGACCCTGGGCCCGGCCGTCCCTGCAGCCCCCGGGTGCCCACCCTGCTTCCCACCATCACAGCCTGCCCTCACCTCAGCTTCCCACCACTGATGGGCCAGCCTTACAGCTCCTCCGATTGGCCAGTGGCAGACAGGCGCGCCCTCCGATTGGCTGTGCGCCTCGCTGGTGCGGGTGATAGGCTGGGCCCCGCTCCCGCCTCTGCTGCGTGCTTGTCCACCTCCTCCCGCCCTGGCGCCTGTCCGGCTCGCCCGCTTGCAACGTAGGTGGGGCGTCCCACGGAGGGCTGGTGCCCGGGCCGGCAGTCGGGCAGAACTAAGGCTCAATAATCGCTTTAGGAATACAAGTAGCTCTGTTCCAGAAAATATGGGCCTGAGGAACCAAAACATGCAACTCTCAAGAGAGGGAAAGCAGATAGGAATCTTAAAAAGCAGCCTGAACTCAGAAGAAAGCGGACCACAAGAACTGCACTATACAGAAAAATGTTTATTGAGAGTGTTGTTGCATTAGAATTGTCACCATTTCATTAGGAAAAGCTGTGGCAAAAGAAACGTATCATTATTGCTTTCCTGTCAAGAAATCAGGTCTGTAAGTCAGCACTGGTCTCTCAGCTGGTTGCTCAGTTCCTGAAGTTCAGCAATCATGTTGTCCATAGTTGTCACCTCATCAGCTATCTCACTGAGAACCTCATTACTTGTTGCACCTAGAAAAAGTTGCTGCATGACAAAAGAAATACGTTATTTTAAAATAGACACGGTTTCTCTGTTTCAGTGTAGAGACAATACAGAAAGCTCATCCACGCTATTCTACCTTTTGTATTTTTGGTACCTATGATGGTATCTCTCTCTTTAAAAAAGTCCATTTTGTGGACTTCAGTCCACAAAAAAGTCCATTAATAATCAGAAGGTGCGCATATTTACATATATCTGTATATACACACACATATATAGACATGTGGTTTGTGCCACACACCTGAAGTATGGCCAAATCCTCCTGTGGATGTTTGGTTTCTGCTCTGACTTGACTGCCTATGCTGACTCGTGATCCCATCGAAAGTGAAGGACTTTACCATGAAACTCAAATTAGAAGAGCATCTCACACACTATCACTGCAGTCCACAAACCCACCTGTGCCATATTCTGTTGTGTTTTACTCTCCAAATCCCCAACTAAGCATTTTAACTTTTTGTGTCAAGACATGCATGTGTGTAATTGAGTTATACAAGAGAAAACAAAACACTACAGAGTAATAAAAAAAGTTTGTTCTTAACGACCTTAAGACATTAACAGAAACACAAAGCAGCTAACTCGTGAGCAATCATAATCTTCACGTATTTACAGGGAAACCAAAGGAGAGGAATGCTACGTGACTTGTCTAAAAGCCTTGAGATACACAAGCTCTGACTGGAGCTTTGTGCATGCTGCACCAGAACATGTTGCTATTGCAAGACCAAGTCATTTGACTCAAGTAATATGGAGGTACCACTGCAGAAATATGGTGGTGGTGGGGAGGGACCCAAACATATGTTTCTCCTTTATTATGTAAAGGGAGAGTGATCCACACTTCATTTGACACAAACAAAGCCTAAATTTAGAGACAAAAACAAACCAAGAAAACAAAAGTTGCTCTGGAGTACATCTGTATATCATTATATCATTAAAACATAACGGCACAATACAGATACGTATATAAACAAAAATGTACTTAAAAGGCCTGAACCAAGGTCTTCGATGCGCCTCAGAACAGTGTTGTCACTGAACAAAGGAACATCTTACACAAAAATAGGAACATGTTCCTGCTACAAGTACAGAAACTTTTCTGACTTTCAGCTGAAAAACTTCACACTGGGAATGTGACACAGAAGTTTTGTTTTTTTCTGGCTAAGACAGCAAAATAAATCAGGATGATATAATTATTTGTTCATTATTTTTTCCACAGTTAAAGAGATCTATTCAACTAGATGCAGCCTGGGGAAGTTTCACGCACCATCATTCTTTGGGCTTTGTGCACCATGTTTCCCCACAACAGTACCCACATTTCATGCATTTACGATACCGCTCCATGACCTTTCTTCTTTTCAGAGACCCCACCTGTCAGATCTGAATGATGCATGGGGGCAAGGAGCAGAAAAGAGTCCACTGTGCTATTTGCCAGAACATGCAACTGCCCAGAAGGCTCTGTGCAGAAAGGAGCCCATTAACAACACATTTAGTTGTTGCAGCCTTTAGCAGAGTGTGGGTGCATCATGAGTCCAGCACAACACAGGAGATGGAATATCAGAGATGGAGATCCCAGGAAAGGTGAGAAGTCTGAGAAGTGACATTGTTTCACCTGTACAAAAACTGCTGATTTGTCCCAACTGCATGTCCTTAACTACAAAATTTGGGAATTTTATCTTTTAAAAGTTACTTTCGCTGTTCCTTTATTCTTTCTAATCTTAGCTACTAAGTTTGCTCTTAGCCCATTTTTTAAAGTGCTTTTCTCTGTTAAAAGAAAAAAGAAAAAAACCCCTCACACTAATATTGACTCATAAGGCAACAAAAGGAGATGCTGCTGTCAAGCTTGGACAGGCATACACAGTGCTAAATTGTTTGTGCATAGGATCTTACAGAAGATGACTGAGTTTTTAAACTACAACACACTCTGGAAATTCAATACGACTTCAAATTAAAAATAAGATGGCATCTTGGAAAGTATACAAAAACAGTGAGATCACACCAATAGCTTTATCTCTAACACATCAGTTCTCAGAAGTGCCATAAAACTTAGAGACACCATTATCTGCCAGTAATATAGATGTTCATTTAATTAGCGCCTTCAGGGATTAAGAATACAATTTATGAGACTCACCTATTCTTAATCTTTCAGATACTGCATGATCTTGCATAATATAAACCACCTGTACTTGGATTTATATAATTTACATCAAGTAGTCTTGCCTTCTCTACAGTCATACTCAGACTACAGTTTTTTTTTTTTAAAAAAACATTCTGTGAATCACAACAAAACATACATGTTGTGGCTTTTTTCTCCACATTCCAAATACTTATGTATGCCAGTATCTAAAAGCACAGCTACAAGCCAGCTTGTGTCTGCTTATACAATTTTCCCAGGCTTTCATCCTTCTTAAAATTATAGGACTTAAAAGTGAGTGAGCCAAGTTTAGCACACTGATGATGGATCAACACTTTGCAACACAAGCACACATGTTACGAAACTTATGCTCTGTAATTCATGTTTACTAAATGCCACTCACAGCCAGGAAGAATACTTCTTTAGGACATTAAGTGTATTTTGAATGAAAACCTATTCCAGATCATTCCTCAGTTAAACAATGGCTGTGTCTCATGTTGTAAGATGAAGGGTAAAATTAGGATAATAATGGTGCGGAAACAGACTTGGCTATGGAGGGTGCGTGGCTATGGAAGCACAACTCCAAAACCCAAATATATGATACAAACATGATGACATTTTCCAATGAATTAATATCTGAATTGGTAGGGTGTCCATGAAAACCTTATTAAAATTAGGTCTCTCTTTTAATAAATAACTTTTTTTTTAAAACACATCAAGTGAGTGTAGCCCTGACACATTTTGGTCTTTTCTGCTGGTTTACATCCATTCTTTCTAAGACTGCTCTGCTTCCCCCATGACTACTCACGTAAGGAACAGGTCTTTGAAATGATCGATTTCTTCCAAACATTCGAGTCTGTTTGCCCAACATTTTAAGTAAAATTCTAACTTAGTCTAAGAGATAGCACTGACATTTTAGAGTAGTAGGTTTATTTCAGTCAAAGCCTAGCAGGAAGAAATGAAATAAAAGTACTTAAAACTGTAATCCTTAACAGTGTAGAGGTGAATATCTATCTGATGATGCACTGGGACAGGCAGGTATTGTTTGACCTATAAATGACTCAAACCAGAGAAATGGTTTCTGGCAACAGAACAAAGATTTCTAGCTTTCAAACAAAAATTCCTACCTTTCAAACATTCCTACCTTTGCTTTGGATGACAAGCCACGTAAGTTGAGTCGAGCTGAAGAAAGTATCTGCAAAGCTTCCTGATGATTAGATTTGTTCTTGCTGCATTTTATAGCCACTAGAATCCAAACACAGAAAAGGACCCCAAAACAAAAAAGCATTACCTCTATAGCAATAATCTTTAAACAACATTAAACATTTAAACAACAACATTTAAACAACAACATTTAATTAAAAATCTTTATTCCTTCCATAGACTTTTTAAAAATGTAATATCCCCAGAAACACACACAAAGAAAAAGAATGCCAAGTAATTTTGAGACGATATCTCTAAACCCAACAGGTATATATATCCTTCTTAAATATAAGTATCACAGCACAGTGAATAGTCTTACTGCATCTGACTGAGATGAACTACGGATGCATTTTCACTTGCATTATGAAATTGCTCGACCATGAAATGAATTGATTCCATGTTTACCAAACATATGTTTACTGACTCACCCAACACAATTTCTGCCTCATTCCAAGTCTATTTTTGTATGCACTATCAGGATGATGGTTTTTGTTAGAGGACTCCCAATAGTAGGAATAAATAGAATAGGTAAGGTATAATGTTATTTTGTTACTAAGCTTAATGAGTATTTGCTACAGTCTTCATGAATAATAGAAGTTCTTTTCACGTAAAACATACCATATGCAATCTCTATGGCTCCTTTCACCACTTCCTTAAAAGAAGAAACATCTTTCTGCCAATCACTTGACTGAACTTCACATTTATGTGCCTTAGTAAGACACTGCAGTGACTGCAAGGAGGAAAAAAAAAGATCAGTACATGAGAAAACAAACTAGGAGACTAATTCAGTTTTAAGTATCTATGAAATTAATGTTAAATCCAGAAAATGAATGTGTCTTTACTATGCTTGATTTCCTGTGTGTTGAAGTAGTGTCCTTCTCTGCAATGGTAAGCACCAGCTGTAACACAGATGTTCTTCACCAATATTGTGTCTCAAGTATGAAAGGATATAAAGTAACGTGTCTAATTTTTATCTTTTAAAAATCTGTCTAGACTGATGGATGTGACCCATGTTTGCCAAGTCATCATAATTAAATGCACATGAAAAAGGGAAAAATACTTGTACTCACAATTCAAACAGCAATTTTGCACCAAAAAAATTATAACTGAATACATCAAAGCTTTCTTTCTGTATATGTATTTTTGGCAAATAATGTATTTTACAGATGCAGCTATTAGCTGCCATACTGCTCTGGTTCTCAGTGTAAACAGGAAAAAATAAATGGAAGCAATATGGAAAAAGGTTCCCATTAAGAAAAAACCCATGAAAAATTTAAGCAGAATAAATTAATTTTTGCATTCTAGTTTTGTTTTCTTTCTCCAGCATCAGAAATACAAAACAAATACACGCCAGAAGTTAACATGGCTCGGTTCAATAACAACTCTTCAACTGTCTTTTTAAAGACGTTAAATATCACAGAGGAATAAAAAACTTTCAGTGCAGTACATGTACATGAGCACAATAAAGACTTTTGACTGCTGAACAAAGACAGATTAAATTTAGGGTTGGTCATCCCAGAAGTTTCTACCTTCTCTCTCCCACCGTATTTCCAATCACTATGACACAGGTGATTGAACTGCTCATGCTGCTGTAAACTGCAGTAAAAGTGTATTAAGTCAAACCAAAGCAAATTTTTTTTTTTCCTAATAACCTAGGTTACAATTGCTAGTAGTTCTGGCCAGCAGAGGCAAGAACGTCCAAGAGAAGGAACAACAGTTTTTACAGCAGTCTGATTTCGGTCTGCACATGTCTGAGTCAGAGCAGCAAATTAGGGGGGTTTTGCTGACAGACGTCAGGGCGGGGAAAGGATTAAAAGTCTTGTAAGGCTGTTTGTTTGTACTTCTGGAACCTGGATTTATCCTGGAAGGAAACAGTTATGAGCTGGGGAGAGTTCAAGGAACAGAAGGGTTTCATAGCCTGGGTACGGATCAGTAGGAAACTTGAAGGCTGGAAGGATTCCTCAGTGGGAAAGGGGTGAACTGGACTATGTTCAGCATAGGAAAGAACTGAACAAGGTGGCAGGTCGGATATATAAAAGTCTTAAGAGTAAATATATGCTAAACTAAAGAAAAAAACCAACCCACAAACCACAAAACCAACACTGCAGTAGTTTTACACTCCTAACTTGTAAACCCTGTCTGACTCAATTTACAAAGCACTGTTGTGAATTTTAACTGTGGACTCACTTTTAACTAGTGATTCATGGCATCAGATACGGCAGCAGAACAGAAAGGTAAAAAAAATAAACACCAACCCACCCTTTACAATAGCCAGACATACAAGGTTGTGCTTTCAAATGCAATGTTCGGAACAAAATTGCTTAAATATAATTAATCTGCACTAAATAAGGTATTACATTATGCAATAAAGGTCAAATCCTACATTTGTAAGGAGGTACATGACACTGATAGGTTTGTTCTCATCTCTTTGTCCTATGATGCTGCAATATAGTAAATAATGCCCTTTCAGAATTCATTGGCCTGTTGTACAATAAATGTGGGTGGAAAACCGCAGCAATACATCTGGCATTTTTCTATAAATAGTTATACTCACTTAATATCTGACTGACACATGATGGTGCTTGTGGCAGTGAAGCCAATAAATACTGGTTTTAACATTTTTACTTTACAATGTGATATCAGAAAAGCTACCAGTGATTATCTAGTGTATGGTAAATTAATTTTTACACTGTAAATGAATATATGCTGTGACTGTAGGCAGTTTTGCTCTTTCATGATCTACATCTATGGTACCGTCATACTAGGATACTTGGATACATACGTAAGCATACCTTAAGTATTTAAAAATATCATACCATTTTGCAGGGCAAGCTAGACCCTAAGTGTGTTCCATAACCAGTCTGATTAGGAAACACAGTTAAAGTCCTGTCTACTCTACAAATTGAAACCATGTTTTTAACTGGGTTAGTGAAAAATACTGTGATGTAACCAGATTCTGAAACGATTACATTTATAATATAGACAGGGCCTCTGCTACTTTGCATGTCTGAGTAAGAATTTGAAGATATATTACAGGATATTGCAGTGTCTGTATTTCTGAATTCTAAGTAGGCCAAATCCCTTTTATTGTTTAGCTGTAAAGAAAAACAGGGAAGGAAAAATGGAGGAATTGGAAGTATAATGGACACTGACAAAGACGAAACAAGGCATTTCACAGGGCAGAGCATAAAGAGGAAGACAACGAGCAAGGCCCAAATAATTACAAGTTTAATCCCACAGGCATACAGTTTGTAGGACCAACCATCTGTATAATATGCTTGATATCAAGCGACAAGCAATCCTCCAGACTGACATTTTTGCCCAGGCCAAAGGCATATTCCTATTAGAAAATACATACTGAATGCTGACCTTGTGTATTTTCAGCTTCAGTGAAGATCTGAAAACTCTTAAGTATTTTTGGATTGTGCAAGACTATTTGAATTTTGGAAATTTGATACCAAATGCCAAGCACACTCCAGCATACAACAAAGTAAACACTCCTAGCAGTTCAGAGTGGTTATTTTGCACATACAATCAACTTGATTACCTGGGAAGCGATAGGAACAAGAGATGGAAGTTAACGTAGCAAAACCACATACGAGTAAAGAGAAACCAATCGAGTTCAACAGATTAAGAATTAAATAGCATTATTTAATTCCATTTTAAGCTAAGTAAGGACAAAACACTTTTACTCTGTGAACTCTGTGGTATAGACTATCTTAAATGCATTTTCTCTTAGCAATTGCAAAGAAGAATATAGATGGTTTATGATGCCACTGGATCATGTCATTAAGATCCACGTTTTTCCAGAAGCTGCAATATCTTGTCTTCAGAATCAAAGATTCCAATAAAAAAACCAAAACAAAACACCCTCCCTCCCCCCAAATATAGCCATTAGACTGTGGAAAGTTTCAGAACACAAATCCAAGACTATGCACATATGCTATAATACGATGTTTTAAAATGAAATACCAATAAGAGAGATACTTTCTGAAAATCCACAAAAACTCATGTAAAATGACTTGCTTCTGTTAGGTAATAAAAATGTGTGCTGTAGGAACATGAAAAGCAGAAGATAAGCTAATAGAAACCCTAAAGCAAAATACGTCTTGAACAAGAGCATGTCTTACTAATAGCACTAGTTTGTTAGAGAACAGAAAGTTTGCAACATAAATGTGTTATCCATAAAAATGTATACCTCATAACATATTTACCTTTTCAATGTCTTCACCATTATCATTCTGTCCATTTCCATAAAGCTGGGCATAAAGTCTCCAGATCTCCCCATCATTTGTCACTCGTGAAGTCACTCTGCCCAAGAGCTCTTGCAATTTCCCCTTCAATCCACTCGCTACCTCTCCCGTGCGATCTGCCATACCATCCACTACTGCTCTGACCAGGATAGCCAGCACCTTAAAAAAGCAGCAGGGAAGAGTTTTTATTTCAAATCAAATCAACATCAGTATATATAATGATATCTGTAATATTTGGTCTCTATTAATGATTCAGTAAAATAGTAATACAGTATCACGTGAGAAGTATAGAATTTACTAAGAAATATGTTATTAAGAGAATAACTAATTTAAACCTCATCTGTAAGATTCTGTGGTTGGTGAAGATAAAGAGGCCAAAGAGCTAAGACAGAATTTTGGGTTACTGGCACAGGCTAGTGTGAAAAAGAACGGTACAAGAAATCGTGGCAGTATCATAAAGATATTTTTACCTTATAATACGGTTATAAAAAGATCAGTAAACAGGTTGAATCAGATTAATTCAGGTAATGGAACACACCGTTGCTTACAGGACCTCTATTTAATTATCTGCAGAAAGTGAAAGATGTATAGTGGATGAGATGGGAAAGTGGAAAGCAACTGAATACCACCCTGGGAAACTGCGTTTAACGCACTTCTGGTGAATTACTAGTCAAGTCATTTCAATCAAACTTTTTACAGGTACTCATTTAATGGCCTTACTTTCTGAGTCACTGGCTTGAGAGTGTGGGATCTGACCTGCAGAAATACTGAGCACTTGCAGCTGCTGATGAATTCAGTGGGAGTTGGGCTTTGCATGTATGAAATGCTACATAATACCAAGTGTCCCAAAAAACCCCATGAGTCTTCCTGTCCCAAAACAGACACTCAGAATTAGAAAACAGTTTTGCTGTGCCTCAGTTCCTTCTCAGTAAAATGAGAAATAGCAAATGTCAATTAAGACATTGGATCATATGGTGAATTAGAAGAAAATAAAACACAGAAAGCTGTGGCTTCCTAAATGAGAACTACCTGACCTGTGGAGTGCATGAGACGCAGAGACTGGGGAAGAAATAATAATAAAAACAATATTAATAACAGTAATAAAACCAATTTCAAAGATGATCTGTGAATAGCCCCTAACCACACAAATATACCACTACTCTAAGTAAAAGTAGGACAGAGGTGCATCCTCACAAACCAAGATGTAGTTCATTTGGCAGAAAGTAATGTAAAAATTATGACAGTATCAAAGTATAGTACACTTAAAATAAAAACATATGCAGTTTAATATTTGTGATATGACATTTTCCTAAAACAGCTTTTCTTTAGAATGACTCAATTACCATGCATCCAAAGAATTAATTGCTGAGTTTTATCAGATATAGTGAGGCTTTGCCAAAAACTCCCAAATAAATCAAAATGGCTGATGATGTTCTGAAATAAATCTTTGTGAGAGATAAAGTGAAAAAAGGAGTTATAAATCTCCCTGGTATCTTTGCAGAATCAGTATGAAATCATAGTAGCATCTGAACATCAGCTAAGTAGTCCCTCCTTGAAAACCATGAGTTTAATAGCCCTAATTAAGTGATATGACAAACTGGCTGTTTTTCTTTTCTGTTAAAGAGCTCAGCTTTTCACTTAAGAAAATACAATCAGTTATTAATACTCCAAAAGTTCTGAAATTCATATTGCATTCATAATTTGGAATCTAAAGGACTAAAACCCACCGCTAAACAAATCAGGTCTTCTGTAATGATTTGCTAGAAAAACACCAGCAAGCATTGATATTTCCATTACTATAGCATTGTAATAAAAAACATACAAGAGGGTAAGAAGAGACATACTGTGTTCTCTTTTGAAAAGGAACTAGAACTGGTCCTGAGGTTTCATACTTACATTTTTTATATATATATATATATATATATGACTTCTCAGCCAGTTTCTCATTGTTCCTCAAAGTCCAGAAAGTTAGTTCACATGAATATCATATACAGTTATCAAGAGTTTTAAAGCCAATGATATTTTGTTTGCACATTAAAAAAAACCCACCAGTTTCCTCAGTCAGTAGGATGTAGCAACTGAAAAATTATTCATATTCCTAGAGAGTTCAGGCTTTGCTTACACTTCCATCGTCATAATGTATCTCCTTTTTTGTAATTCATCATGTAAACTTTAGCACTCCGACAGTTAAAATAAAACTAGTGTGAAAGCCTGGATTAAAGGGTCCATTAAACACTAATGAATCATTAATGCTACTTGGCTGTGCCCAGTTGTTAAATAAAGCTATTTCAAATTGCAAGTGAATTGTGCTAATCATCAAAAAGTATGAGCATATGAGCAGTGTAACAGACCTATCCATTTCAGATGGTTGTCTTAAGTGTTAATTTTATCTTTGAGAGATTTTTAACTGCCATACATACTGAACTACTAAAGCAATGCTTTGTTGCCCAGGATCCCACACAAGCAGTAGGGCTTTTTTTTTTTTTATGCCTCTTTTAATGAACTGGGCTGCATATGACCACTGTGCAGAGAGTTTGTGTTCAGTATGACGTTACACCATCTTCTTTGCTTTTGTGAATAATATGTGTTTACTAAAAATTGAACAAAAACCACCACGGGACAAAACCTGAGAAACAAACCAAATAATTTTAAAATGTTGTGATTGCTATCAGTTCATTCCACAATTGTTCTCCAAACAGCTCCTTTAATATAAAATTCACTGGTCAAACCATTTTTTAGAAGCTTCACTAATACTAATCAAACTTGACAGCACTCAAGTAAGAAAAGAACCCTCAGCCACCAGATCCAAAATGACAAATCTGCAACATATGAGCTCTCCTTATGCCCCTCCCAAATTAAAGCATTATAATCAGGACAACTGTAATTAGTGAACTACTTAAAAGAAACAGGGCTCCAAAAAGCATTCATTCCTATCCTCGCTCCTCAAAACCCCCTTGGAACAGGCTCTGACAGCCTTTTATTAGAAACAGTCTGGCAACACGAACCACTGAAATGAAGATGATATTTGATGGAAAGGGTAGCAGAAAAACTTCGCTAGACTCTGGAGAACACAGAATTGCAGAGAGGAACCATTTGTCCATACTTATGAATTCATAGTCTTTGACAACACAGGATGAAGATCTGGTTTCTGAAAGCAATGTAGCAAAACAGCTTTTTCCAACAGCAAAATAACTGTTCTTCACAGAACTGCAATTTTCCAAGTAAAAAAAGATTGCTTGCCTCCACATACATGCACATGGTACTAAGTAGTGCGATTAGCAGTGGCAGAAATTTTTCAGGTATATTCACCATCTCAGAATAATAATTCAGAGCCTAAAACTGATGACTACAACCGGTAAGGCTTTCTCCTCAGGTCCTTTTTAATGACTGATCTACTAGCTGAAACTAGAGATTATTCAATGACCCTTTATCTTTTATTACATAACATCTATATTAAAGGTTTTCAAGGTATGTTTCTTAGTAGGTTCACAAACATTAGCAGGAATATGGAAATTTGAAGAATTAATAACCAATAAGGAAGGAAGGAAGGTAAGAAAGCATGCTTATAAGATTTAAGGGGAATACTAGGAAACAGACTTTTGAAAGCCCTTTGCTGTAATCTTTCATTGTATTGTTGTTCATTTATAAAGAGCCCTTCAGCTTTTCCTTGTTCAAATTCTGTCTGCATTATCAGCACATGCATATCTTCAAACCTCATGATATCCTGATCTCAGAACCTTTGCCACAAGGATGACATCGTTAAATAACTAGAATAGCTTAGAAGCAAAATTTCCCAAAGCTGCATTCTGTACTTAGAAGTCTGGCACAAAAACACAGCAATGGTCTAAGTCACGGATGAAGATATGAATGCCTTACTGTTACTAGAAGAAGTTAGTGATTTACAAATATGGCTGCATACTATGCTGAAATAATATCTGATGTAACTACAAAACCCAAGAACATTTCAAATTATATTCAACTGCACACTCTTAATTGATGCATTCAGTCTCTCATGGGGTATTCTGCAACAACAATTATGCTAAAAGTGATTGGTGATAGGCTTTCTGTTTTCACAAAGACCTGTAATCAATGACTCAACTTGTTTCTTCCAGTCCCATGCATATTTATTTTTCTGAATTTTTAAATTCCTACCTTCTTTCTCACCACTACGTCATCCAGCTTAATAGTCAATCAACTAAAATCTATGACGACCACAAATACCAAATGTAACCTGAGAGAAGATCATACTATGTCGCATGAAAACAGAGGTGTATGCTTCCACTTACATTCATGATTTTACTTTGTTAAAATACAATTGCACAAGAGGATTATAGAGCATCTCTATTTAAAACAGGCCAGTTGGCAAATGGGAGAGGCTCAGAAATTTTTGTAAACAATCTCAGCAGAAGCTTTGAGTTTTATGTGCTTTTTTTTTTGTTTTGCTATGGAACTACTCTTCTCTTCCTTCTAAGATTATTGATTAAAGCCTTTCTGAAATTCTTTAATCAGTCTCTGAGGTTTTTCTTGCCCAGCTAGTAAAATCTTTCTGATTGAGGAAACTGTATTAGAAGTCATGATGAAACCCATGAAGCACGTTACATATTAGAAGCCAAAGTTAAAATTATGGTGCAAAAAATCCCCCACATATTAGGATATAAATATATTTAGGATACATAGCATATATATACTTCTGTAAAAATTATAATATATGATTAAAAGTTGTATGAGAACAAGATGAAAAAAGAGTTATACAACAAAAATAGAATTTTAGTGCAAGCAATATCCCCAAATATTTTAATAAAATATCCTACATAAAGTTTGACAAAACACACTAATAGGAGTCTGTATCCTCTCAAAATATCTAAAATGGACAAATACACATAGAAAGTTCTACTCCTAGTCAGCTGTCAATCTGACTAAAATAATACAGTAGACCACCCCTAAAAATGTTACTTAAATTAAGAACCGAAATGAAAAAAAATCATTAAAAAAGGCCAACCATCTGCAAGATGCTCCATGTATAAACACACAGGCCCAACCAGTACCACAATACTGTAGCTGTGAAACACAGTAATCTTTACCTATTTTCCATAGATGCTTTTTAGTACAAAGAGAGTTTGAGACCTTTTAATGTTAAGCCACATCAACCCCAAAAGATTTTATTCGTACAGGATGTTATCCTGTGCATGGTTGACTTTATAGTAGTAAGTACCGTACTCACAATTTGTTATTTAAAAGTAACCCGAAAAAAAGTTTTTAACATCCCTCCCCCCCATGAACAAATAAGTTTCCACAACCATAATTATTTCTACCTGTTCTCTCTCCTCATCTCTGGACTCAAACACCTAAGATCCAGGAAAGCTACTTTTAATCATTTTATAGGATAAGAAAAGAAACATGCTCCTGGGATCAATGACCAGCAGCAGCTGGATCCTCTTATCCTAGTACTATACACAAATTCCCTAAGAGCTCATAATCTGTTCAATGAGATCCATTAATCTTGCAAAGGCTTTTGGAAGGTGTTTCACTATTCTGCTTAAAGGATTCTTTGGCTCACCTTTCAGATTCACCTTGCTATTTTCATTGAGTATACAGAGCCCTGCTTAGGTCAGGACCTGGTTTTAGGCAAGGAAACATCTCAGCTGAAGCTGTTAAAGTAGGCTCTCTGGATTTTACCCAGAGCATACATTTACAAACACAGAAATTAACTGAACTTAACTGAACTACAGTGAAAGATGAGCAAAATACCTCCCTTATTTTTCTTTCTTCCAGATTATTAAGAATCAATGTTCTGACTGTAATGTGTTCAATCTATAAAACGTAATTCACTTTCAAAGGCTTATTTGTGGAGTTTTCAAACACATGGGAAAAGCTTACCTTTCTTTAAATGAAATAATGTGTACTATTTCTGATACTAAGATATGCAGGAACAGTATGGAAAGATGGGGTTATGCACTATGTTTTATTTAAGAATAGATCTTAAATCTGCAAGCCTCATATTTGTTCTTCCACTAAATCGAAGGCAATGGGGATGCAAAGGCTTTCCTTTTTGTCCATTTTTATTTTAAATACTTAGTCTTACAGTCCATCTCAAAAAAAAAAAGAGTAGGCAAGCCTTACTGTCGTGGTTTGGTATGTGTACTATCATTACTGATACCATTATCAGCAGAAATCTCTCTCTGTCTCTCAAGAAAAATCAATGAACATATGCAATGACTTAACATGAAAACTTCCCCACCTGTGTATCCTTGTAGTTTTCTCTTAAGTCCATGAGCCGATGATAAGCTTTAATCGCTTCTGAAAACTCTCCAACATCTGTACTGGTAAGAAGATAGTTCTCCCATATTTGCCAGTGCTCATAGTTGCATTTGAGAGCTTCTTGGAGGGTTCGAAATGCTTTGATTCTAATCAATAATAAAAGAGGAGAATAGAAAAGAAGATTCTACATTAAAGATTTAATATAGAAGATTTCTGTATTAAAATCAGTTGGAATTATATCAACTAAAAAGCTACTTAGCTAAAAAAATGTTTAGAAGACAGTGCAATGTACAAGTTATGGTTCATAATTTACAATACTGATAGTTCCTTAATCTCCCTTGCCAGTTACTTTCTGTCAGTTCACTCCACAGTATGCTCTGCAGACTCTGAAGTAGGTAATCTCTGTGTTAGCTCTCATAATTACATTTTGACAAAAATTCATTATAATTGTGCCACCTATGTCAATATTTTCTTTTCTGAATTTGTAATTGGAACCATGAGAAAACAATCTTACTCATGCTGCAGTTGTAACACATTAAAAAATTAAAAACCCAACCTCACAACTGAAAAGAGTGTATTTTTCATAACTGAGTTCATGGCAGATGCAGAATGATATTGACTCATCACACAAAGGAAGGTTACTTAACAATAATAGCTTTTTGTGATTTATTTTAAACATTTGCACATGGTAAACATGTATATCCATTGCAGAGAAGCCCAGCATTTTCAGTAATTTTTTTCTTATGTCAGCTGGAAGCTTTACTTACATTCTCTGTTCCCTGATGCTATGCTGCTCAGTACAAATGTGTCAGAGTGGCCCCAAACACTATTAGGGTCCTTCACCAAAGGTGCTGCCCAGTGAACCATCTCACAGTGGCAGGATAAAGTGTTGTGGAGTAAAGGTGGACAGAATAATTCCTATGAAGTCACTGTCAAGTCAGGAAGCATCTGTATTTTTTCATATGGATCCACTGCAGGCAACTCTTTGCCATGCCCTTACTCAAGGAGAGAAGTAATGGCATTCTCTGGTAAGGAACATATGATAATTCGGCCAAATCAAGAACGTGGGCTGAAAGCAGCTGACCTACAGTTTACAGAGGTATGACTTCCTGCCAAACATGAAACCAGTGCTGCCAGAGCGGAGGCAGGAGTAACAGGTCTTAATGCTATCTGAAATGTATGTTGGTAAGGTCTGGGTACCTACTGTTCAACATTTTCAATGTACTGCCAAAAGTTTCAATAAATTTGAGACGTTAAAAAAAAGCACTGCTAGAGAATCAGAATGATAGGGTAGGTTCTTAGGACTTCAAGAGGTTGAAGCTTACTCTCAGCTAGACAGTCATGATTTGTAGAAACCCCCCCCCCCCCACCAAAGGAATAAATTCCTTTAAATGAAACCTTGAAACAGAGTTTTCCCAGTTCCACAAAAGTCTTCTTTGTGGAGGTATGACAATAAATCTCTTCTTAATAAAGAGCATATAAAGATGGCTTGTTATCAAAATTTGCAGTTCACTTGCTCTATTGGTTGAGTGAGTTGCTATAAGTGCTGTCTCTAAAGAAAGACACTTCAAAGAAATTGTTGGTTGAGTTTTAAAAAGAGGATCCAGGAGAGTGTCTATATCCCAGCCAGAAAAAGGGAATATCTAACTAGCGGATCAGGCCATTAAAGGTTTGGAATGGCTGGGTCAGGGAAAAAACATAAAGACCTGCCAATCTAAGACCACAGTATAAAAATAGTTACCAAATACGCACTAAGATTGCTGACTGATAGAGCAGAATTATTGAAGGAAAACAGGTCATTGGGCATAGCTACAGCAGAACAGTCCACAGGCAGGATTTTCCCATGTTCACTCCCCTTTTCTCTTTCTTCTGATATACATGGTGCTGCTGAGTAAACAGTGTATTTACTAACAGCTGGGTCTGCTCTGCTGTTAAGAGTCCTAATAAGGGATTTCTGAAACTAGAAACCCCTACAGTAAGGCGTTTCTGAAATTGCTCTTCAACATCTGTAGGATTAGCCTGTATAATCTCTCTCAAGTTCTCAAAAAAGTTAATAAGTTATCAGGAGGGCAGATACCAATCAGATGGATCTGTGAAATGTAGACAAGATACCAGAGGGATGGGATGAAAATCATATTCCTCAAATCGTCACTCTTGCTATGCTAATAAAGTCCTCTAGGTTCTCAAAACAAATCCTCTATGTATTTAATAAATCATATAATGATGGAGTATCCTTAACCAGGGCAACAGTTAAACCAATTCATATCCAAACAGGAAACAGTAGGCAGTACCAGTGCATCATCCTGTCTTGGAAACCAGGAATCTTTCACCCAAAGGACAGAGGGCCAGTCCCAGTTTTTTCTGAGAAATATGAGATCTAGATTTCACAGGCCTCCTGGCCAAAACCCAGAGCAATTTTTCTGGTAAACCAAAGAGTAGAGTCTGTTTTCATCACAATTTTTCTGGAGGAAATTCAGAATACACAAAGCTTGTGGAGTTTATTGGTTTATTGGGAGGGAAAAGAACAAGCGAGCTATTATGTGTGTAGATCTCCATTTGCTTTCATAATATTAAAAATAAACTGCCTGTTTTCCCCTTAAATCTACTGAGATTAATGTAGTACGAATTGATGTAGGTCTGAATATATAGTTTGCTTGAAATGGAAATAATCTTTTTAACTTCATAATCAAATTAGTTTCCAACTTTAATATGAATGTTTTGCACTGGTTGTACTTACTACACCATAAATGCTTTTAACAAGAAAAAAAGTGTAGGGTGAGAGATTGCTACTTTTATAAAGCTTATGAAACTATTTCCTGCAAAATCAAGTAAGTTATTAATGATCCAACCTGGGAGAGAACTGAAGAGGTAAGAATTACAAACATTATAAGAATAAAAACCTCAATGTCAAAAAAAAGGAAATCCCAATTATTTATTTTGGATGCAGTGTCTTCTAATCCTTTTGAAGTACTTACTTCTGTTTTAACCTGATATAAGCAGTTGATAAATTGTTCCAGGCCTCAGCATTCTGTAGTGATAAAAGAAGTTAAAAAAAAAATTATTCACTGATATTATGCTTAGTTGAAAAAAATATGTGAATAAAACTACTGTAAAATATCATTGATTTTGCCAATTACACATATTAACAAATATTTTCTACAAGGCAGTCAAAATATTACATTGAAATAGAGAATATTATATTAAAACAAATACATAAATAAATATTACTGACTACAGCAACAATCTGTTACATAAGTCAGCTCTTGCTTTCAGTTTAAACTGTAAACAGGCATCCTCTTCTGGATCTAGCTGGGATGGCTGAGTGGCTGGTGCTGCCAGCAGCTTATCACTTCTCACTAGCTGGAAGCTACTTACCTGCACTGCTCTGTTAGTGGAAAAAATTATCTGAATGTCCCCTAATGCACCTAAGGCAAAACTAACAGGGTTAGTTCCAACAGTGCTTATCAACTGTTTAGCTGAAAAGGATTATGGAGTGTACAGACAATCCTTCCTCTGGTAAAACCAGCAGAGCCATGTAGAGAGACGATTCCTCCTACTCATCGCCCTAACACGGATGCAAATTTGAAGCCTCACCACTGAATTCAGCGAAGTGACAACTAGTATAAATCTGAAGAACAGAACCTGGGTACTGCTATGAAATTTACTCTGGTACTGAAGGCTATCCTTGGGCTTCAGGAGCATTTAAATCATGTTGGGAAACATTTTTGAGGCTTAATTCATTAAAACGGTCATTACATTGCTGCACATCATTGTATAAAGATAGGTTTCTCCTCCATAACTAAGAGCCAGCCCAGCACTCACAAAAGAAATACCACTTAAGCCACTGAGAATTCAGCTGGCTTGTTCATATGAATACAATCAATTACAGGCCCCAGACAGATAAGTGAAAATTTTAGTACCTACTTGGAAGTAAATCAACTGTATTGATACCAAAAAAAAAAAAAATCAATATATGAAGTAAAAAATCTAGTTAAATACAGAGTTGTCTATATGTATATTTTTTTCAAGTTATTTTATTTTCTTAATAAAGACAAAAAGAATACTTTGTACTTTTCATTTCTCTCTCCTTCATTTCCCCAAGCAAAAAGAATGAATAATAGTTTCTATCAATTAGGTGGCATTAACTCTAAGCTAGCAACATGCCAGCAGTGAAGCCTTTTGAGAAAAGTATTGCCAGTACATTCCCGAGAGGTAGTCCAGCTGGTGCCTCTGCTATCTCAATGCACACTCACACTCAAATGGCAATACCGTACTCACGCTTGCCCCATGAATCCTGAAAAACTGGCTAACAGACTCCATTCTCCCTGTGCTCATGAACTACACAGTTACAAATTTACCTGTCATACAATCACTTATTTGACTATTTTTTCAGGAGAATTTGACTACTTAGAGAACTAAGTATTGTAATTTATTTTTTTGGTTTTATCTCTCTCTTTAGCACTCCTCACAGACTACTCATTCCCTTTTCTCTGTTTTAGCAATGTATGCAAGCATGAAGGAATTTCTGCTCAAACATATTTTAACATTCACACGCACATACTTGGATGAAGTTAACTATTGGGCAAGTATTTTTATGATGCCTTATGACAAAAAGATATCCTTAATGCACAAGTTTAATTTATTCAAAGGGCTAAGGTTTAAAGAAGTTTTTCATTATTGCTTTGCTTGTTTATAATGAAAACATCCTCGTTGCTATTAGATAAGCCATCTGAATAGCTTGTTGAAAAGTACATACATCTGGTTCCAATGTCACACAGCGCTGAAATGCTTTGGCAGCACCTTCGTAGCCTTCTAAAGCAATGTATGCGCAGCCCAAGGAAAACCATACACCTAGCTGGAGACAAAAATTGGATGATTACATATATATATACACACACACATTTCTGCAGAAAAGAAATAATTTTGCCTGGGTGCTCAAACACACACTACTCTTGTTGATTTTACCTGATTTTCAGCAATCATAATAGTATTGCATTGGAATAAATAATACCCGGTATGCAGAAATAGGAAAACTTTACGTTCATAGTTTTAACACATATGGATACAGTAGTGTTGACTATATAAAGACCACTTCACCATATGTGAAGTGCTCTTTAACAGTGCATCTTCATTTAGAGAAGAAAGTAATAGCTATTTAGAGGTTTGTATATTTTGCTTTACCTTGTGAAAAATCCACATTCACTTTATAGTATTGCAGTTAGGTCAAATGGTAAATACTAGGAAATGTATTTCAAGGAAATAACATTTTTACAAGAAACATTTCTAATGACTGAACATGAACACTTCAAAATTATAGCTCTTTCTACTTGAAAGAATATCAACCTTCTCTAGTTTATAATGCAATGTTTGGAGATAGAAACGTCCTTAAATAATGCCTCATGTAGAGAGCAGAACTGTACCAGCAATAATCTTGCATTGTAAGTCTTCAGTTGTTATAATCAAATACCTCTCATCCATACAGATTCAAATAATGTCAGATATAGGTATAAATTACAGCTGTTCTCATAGCTCTTCAATAGCAGGTTCCTGATTTGCCACATGGTTAATTCTCAAAGAGTAGCAAGTTAAGCAGTACTACCTTTTAGTACTACTTTACTTTTACATTCACAGAACATTTTCTGACAGCATTATGCTGCTTAAATGCATGCAGTCAAAATCAAACAGAACATTTTATAATATGCTGCAAAATCATTCCAGGTAATACTACCTACTGCAACACGCTCAGCTGTTTCTCCATTCTAAATGCCAAGGTAAGAAACATAAATGGGTTTTCTTGGAAAATTTTTTGAGAGAGGGGAAAAAGGTTCAGAAGAGGAAGATGGAGAAACAGGTTACATTAACTCTAATTTATACTGCATAACAACATATTACTTTTCAAGATGTCTGATTAATCTTTATATCCTCTTGTGTTTGGGTACTCGTCTTGAAGCAAACAATTCTGATAACTCAGGTTCTTCGTAGGAGACCATAATAGCTATTTCAACACAAAAATGTTACCTTAAGAAACACTTGCAAACCAGTGTTTACAGGGCTGAGGATAAAGCTGTTCGTTCACACGCAAGGAGTTTCCATCTCTACTGATTAATTGCAAACTCTGTAGCAGACATTTTGGGATTTTACAGGGCTGAGGATAAAGCTGTTCGTTCACACGCAAGGAGTTTCCATCTCTACTGATTAATTGCAAACTCTGTAGCAGACATTTTGGCAGTTCTCTCCAGACCAGAGTCATTTTTCTGTCTTTGAGACTCAACTTAAAATCAGTAACAAGATTGTCTGCTACAACTGGATTAACCTGATTTACCTGCGATAGAGTTTGTAGTTAATCTGCTTCAAAATTTAGATCCCAGCATACAAATTTATGACATTCATCCTTGTCACATCCAGCACCCTGGTGTGCAGTCTTCATGATACCAAGAAAAGAACTGAACAAGCTT